AGAAATAACACGTGAATGCTCTTTGTAGTGTTTTTCCAACACTTGTAAAACTCCAGATTTGGATGTACAGCTTGAAAAGCCCCAGACAGGCTCTGATTTACTGCTCCATGCTCTGCACTGACCACATCAAGCAGGTGATTTTAAAACCCAGGCAGGAGGAGGGGGCAGGAAAGATGCAAGACAACAGCAGTGAAATACAAAGGTCCATTCCCCCACCTTGTGGGTAACTGCTGGAACAACAATTCCCAGCAGCATCCCTTCATTTGCAGCCCTGCCACAAATCTGTGCCACTCCACACGGATTTCTGCTGAGCTACAGCCAGTGTCCAAATGTAAAACATCTTTGTGATTAACTCCAAGCTGTTTGAAGTAATATGCTGTTTTATTTTTTAAATTTCACAGCAACTTAGAGAATGATGTTTATCAGTATCAGTTACTCTGTTAAGGTGTGGAGAAGTTCCTAAAGAGTTAGCTGTTCAACTGTTCAAAGTTTCTCATTATACTAAACCTGCATTTTCTTTTTGTTTGATTATATCCCTTTGTGCTGCTTTTACTGACAATTAATCTGCAACAATTCTATGGGATCAGTTACCAAAGTCTTTTTGGATTCCTTATGAGCACCTTAGTGTAATGTCACAGATCTTGAGAAGTCAACAGCAAATTTCTTCCCAGCAGGGAAAGGGAAAGCACAGCCAGAGGTGAAGATGACAAACAGGAGAGAAGGTTCATAAGCACAACCCAGCCCTCGTACATCAACCAAACCAAGGGCACATTCAGGGCCACATCTATCAGTGCAGAGACCAGACTGTACAGCTCAGTGATTTAGCTATAAAGCTTTTACTCTGTGAGAGGAATGTATGTCACACCTGGTGGGGAGATGCTTCAAATCCCTGGAAACTCACTCCATTATTTAGTGCACAAACTGCTTCCCTACTTTTCAAGTGTTTTGTTTTGGACAAGTGTTTTGCAGGCTTGGACATCTTTACTGTGCCTCTGATAAACAGCAGTGTAAAAACAATGTGGACACACACACAAGACCAGCACTGGAATTTGAGTGCTGTCATTTTAGCAATAAAGTGCATTTTCAGTGCTCTATCTGCTGACTCCAGTAAAGTACCTGGGAATGGCTCTACCTCTGAATGAAATCAAATCCAATTCTTTTCCTTGTTAAAATCTAACAAAGTTACTGTTTTCAATACTGCTGTTGGTCTTCACAACTAGCTATTTTCCCAATTACTGATGTAAAAGGAATTTGTGTCAGGATGCCAAATCAGGTTTTTAATAATTTGGTTTTACCTCAGAAGGCTTAGCAATTTCATGAATTTATCATTATCCTGCTTCCACCTTCCTCCACTCCCCACCTACCATGTCAGTATTATGGGGTTCCTCCCATCCTCCTTGTTCCCCTGGCCTCTGTCATCTAAAGATCAGGATAAACAATTGACCATCTCATTTTATAATAAATAACATAAAATGTAGTCAACCTAGAGGTTTACTTGTTGACTTACAGTGAACTGAATCAAGTTTAAATCCACACATTCCTTTCAATAGGTCAGGTTTTCTTCCTTTCAGGAGTTACTTCTGCTTTTATGTTTCAGCTTTTCTCCCTAAGACAAATGAGGTAACCAGATGAAGCTACCACCTTAGCTGATGATAAATACCTAGAAAAATCCAAAACAGAAACAAATTGCAGCACAGAGATAATAAATAGTGAGATCTGGAGATCTGTGTATTTGCCTCACTGTTACTCAGTGATTGTGCAAATAAGATCCATAATCCAGGGGGTGGAATTGCATTAGGATCATTAGTAAATTAAACAAATATTCACATACCTGGAACCAATTTTAATTAAGACATCTATTTCTAAAACAACTTTCCCCCCCCACTTTGATCTGTCCTTCTCCTGCTATGTGGCATCACAGGTTTGACTGGGAACTGCCCTCTCCCTCCAAAGCACACCTTTGTCCAGGAAATCTTAATAAACAAGCTTAACAGCTTGTAAAAAAAGCTGAATAATAAAGCTTTGATTTTTCCAATGAAACTTGAAGCTGTATGTGTTGATTCTCAAATCCCTCCATTTGTTTATATGATAAAACTTCTCTGGTCAGTCCACTGGAGCATCTATTCCAAATTAAGTCTTCACACTCAGGTTTGATGAAATGCAACTTTATAAACTGTTGAAAGAATTATTTTTTCAAACAGATGTTAGCTAGTTTCAAAAGGTTTCACAAGTCATTTTACACTTTTAAAACTAAAACATTCTTTTTAATTTTATTTTTAAATCTTCTGAGTGACCCAAGGTACCCTTATATAAATAATCTTTGTTGCCAAGCATAGCCCAAGGTTAGGATACACCTACTGTAATTTCTGTGTTATTACACTACAACTGCCAGAAATTAAATAAGAACATTGGTACTTGATTGTTGAGATGAATTACTTATCCCCTCCTTCAACTTCACCATTTATCCCCTTCAAAACTATTTATTCTCTTACTAGTGAACTATTCCCTATTCTCCCTATAAAAAAAACCAAACAATCTTCCAGGCTCTGCAAACTTTGAGAAAATGGTTAAATGTGATAGTGAGAGGTATGAGTTCTTTGGATGCATATACTTTATCACTGGAAACAGAAATGGGTAATTTTAGGTAATTTTCCAAATTCTCCTGGGTAATTTTCTTTGGTGTTGGGGGGAGAGGGGGTATTTTAGATTTCCTATTGTGACAGAATCCCAGATCAGCAGAGCTTTAAGGCATCTCCTGAGACTGCACAGTCAGGCACAGAGTGCTGTCCATGTGGACTCAGGCTGCAAATCTGCAATGCTATCCCACAGTCTGAGGGGGTTTGAGAATGCTGTGATGCTCTTTGTTTCTTTAAAGTTCCACAGAAGTACTTGTAAGTGGTTGGTTTATTGTAATTCTCTAGAATTACAATACAGAATTGTAGAGAATGCAGAATACAATACAGAAATGTAGAGAATGACTGGCAGAACTCAATGAATACAGGGTGACGCTGAAAGGAAAAAGCCTAAATAAAATCCATTAAAAATTCTCATTGAAAGAGAGCCTAAAATCCCCTTGAACAGTTAACAGCAAAATGGACCAAGCTCATGTAAGAAATTAGTAAAGAAGGTGACTGCATTTTTATAATGAATGTTTACTTGTCTCCAGATTGGGCAGAAACTCAAGGAAAATTCTCAAAGTGAAATGCTCCTTAAAGCTCATGGTTAGGTGGAATTGGTAGCACTATCCTGGGCAGAAGCACGCACAGCCATTATCTACTCCTGAGGTTCTCACATCATTCTCTCTTTTTGTAAAGAATTAAGTGGCTCTAAAAATGTAAGCACAAGCACATATTCATGTGTTTTCCAATGCAACAGCTTGACTGTATTATCATTTTCCTGCTACTCTTTTTTTAAATGGTTACTGGGTCACAGACCTACACTGAGGGAGGCTGTGCTGTTCTGTGCCTTGGGGACAGCTGAGCATGCCAGGGCACAGAGGGCATGGCACAAAGGGCTGGGTGAGCTCCACAAGGCCTTCAGGAGGGCACAGCTGGAGCTGCAGACTGAGGAACAGTCACAAGGACCCAGCATTCACCCACACCTTGTGACAAAAACACTCCTGCAGAGCTGGAGAAACCTATGATGAGCCAGAAAGCAAAGGAGTAACTGAAGCAAAGGACCCAATCCTGACCTAAGTGCTTGGAGTTCTAATTAACACTAATTTTACTGTCTTAAAATTCAGTAAAAAATTGCCTTTGAGACAGCAAAAAGCTTCTGGGCACTCACTAAAAGGAAAAGGTAGGAAGATGTCAACAGCTTGGCAACCTGGTGTGCTCAGTAATACTGAAAAACTCCACAGCTTCACAGAGGCATAAAATCCTCAAGGTATGGAAAAACATTCTGTTGCCAGATACTTAAAAAAACAAAACAAAACACAAAATAAATAACAACAAAACAAACCAAAAAACTCCCCACAACAACACCAAAATCTTTGAAAAATCTTTTCACTTCCACCTAGTTGAAATTAATCTCTCAAGACTCTCTGAAACCCACTGTTACCCTCTTACCCCAACAGAGCATACAAAAAGAATTTAATTCTGCACTTGTTCTACTGCTGGACACACAGACAGAGATTAGACAAGAGCCTCTCCTTGTCCCTCAGCTTCCTCAGCCAGCACTTCAAGAACATGCACCAGCTTCAGGAAAAGAAGTGGCAGGGAACAGGAAAATTCCCAAAGTCAGAGAGCAAAGCTCAGGTAGAGCCACCAGCAGCTGCAGAGGATGCAGCTAAGCCAAAGGCCACTTTAAAAACAAAGAGTCAGAAGGAGAACATGGTAAAGTGGAATGGAACACGAGAGGCAGGCCCAGGACAAGCACTGGAAACCCACTCATCCCAAACATCCATCTTCATTTAAGCAAGAAATGGAATTCCTCTCTCATGTCCTCTTGGTCCAAGTGGCAAAGAAGGTCATTCATCACTCCAGCTGGAGGTCACCTACCAGCTCACATCCACCCAGCAACCCAAACTGCAAAGATGTGCAGCTCAAAACAAAACCTACTGCTTCCTCAGACTATTTTAAATAGAATTTTCTTCACTGAACCTTATCACAAATAGTGAGCAAATGCAACATCTCCTGTTTACAGTTCAAGCCAGAATGTTTATCAAAACCATCACGAAGTATATAAGGGAATCAAGCAGAAGACTGGAGCCAGAAAGGTGTCTTCAGAACTGTTTTAAGCTCCAATTCACCTAAAAGCAGGCACATGGTGCTGTCTGAGCATGCACCAAGTAGACTGAAGTGACATCCATTCTCAAGTATGAATTAAGAGGCAGTGCTCATCCAACTGTTCCTAAATATCAGAATCCAAGATGCAGAAACTGCTGAGCTGAGAAAGCTCTTTTGCAGTACCTTTGTACTTTGATGGATTTCTCAGTGTCAGTGACATGAGGCAAACCAAAGCACTTGAGAAAGAAAAACTTTAAATCATAGCACAAATACTTGCATATAAAAATTTATTGTCTTTTTTTTTAAAACATGAACTTGATATACATACAAGCTGGACAGCTATTTTCTTTATTGTTGAGCAGAGCTTTCTAGAAAACAGGTGATACTAAGAATTAAAGCTGTACCACATTCCTTCCCTTGTAGAAAAGTGGATTAATAGCCATGTGCATACAATACCAATCAAATCATGTGTGCAATGCTCTCTGCAAATTCTGTGTTTGGCAGCATACAAATATCTTAAACTTTCTAACTTTGGTGAGCTCATAGGTGCAGGTAAAGAGTGCATTTATACAATGCACCAGCCCCTAAGTGTAGAGTTTAAAAATCCAGGCCTGGTGCACTGTATGGATCTGTAGAAAAATACTGTCATTTTAGTTCATCAAGTTTCTATCTACAGCTGTTATCTAGCACAAAAGAGAAGTAAGAAATAGAAAATATTGTTTCCAAGAAAAGGATATTAAGAAGGTCAAATTTTCATGAGTTTTTGCAAGGACTAGGTTGTATTATTACTGATTTTCTGATCTGACAGCAACAGCTCCCAGTTCCCTGATCACTGAATTCAAACCTGAAATCTGTTTGCTCCTCTATTCCTGACTCAGCTACCTATGGATTGGCCTCCTGGTAAGAATGGAACTTGTCTCAAGGAAGTTCATGGGTTATTCATACAATTTGTGCTTAACTGTTGTGTTAAACTGAATGCTGACAGCCTTCAGGAGGAGAAACTGCCACAAAAAGGTTGCATCAGAAGTGAGTTTGAACTCAGTGAGATGGCTTTCTTCCAGTGGAGCCACTGAAATATGGAGAGCTAATTTCTCAGATTTAAGTTTCTGACATCCAATGCTAAACCCAGTGTGCTGTTCCTCCTGGAGAGTTCTTAGGCTACAGTGACACAACCAAAACCATAAACAGGCACATGACAGGTGAATAATATTTTCCATTTTTAAAGTGCAGATTTTCATTTACAATGTGACATTTCAAAGTAAACATTTCCAGACAACCACAGCCTATTTCTTTTATATATAGAAATTATTACATTGCTTCTATGCAGTATTTTCTAATACTAAACATTCAGAGATGAAATTATATTAGCTAAATTGTGTAGAGTCATTTAAGGAGAATGTTGTATAAAACAGAGTTCTTAATTTGTTTCAATCACTAACAGAAGTGCTTCATCTGAAAAAACACCACAACCACTACCCCTGGTCTGTAAACCAAAACCTTAGAGTGCAAATAAGGTAACCACTTCATTTTAGAATCTCTGACATTAAAAGGGCAGAAAATAAAATTTCAGAGTGGGAAAACATTTTATCAAAGAAATGGAATTTTTAAACTGAAATGCAAGTTTTAGGAACCAATTCCTTCCAAATGATGCATAACTTCTAAAACTGAAGTGTTAATGGCTGCTGACTTTGAAAGAAGACCTCAGATATTTTATTTTCACTTTTTCCCCAATGTTTCCATGTTGCTTCTAATCAATTTTAGGGAGAAAATTGCATACCAAGTGTCAAACCCGACAAATCCTGGCTATCAAGAGAGCATTTAAGGTTTCCTCCACTTTAAGGATGCTCTCTTCACCAGCTTCTCCTGTTTTCGTGTTGCCAGGGCTTCCTGAATGGCACCACAAACCCTCTGCAAAACAACACAGAGAGAGCAAACAACAATGAAAGCAGGCAGCACTTTTCTTCCATAAGATGTCACTAAAAAATCATTCAACAAAGATGTAAACCCACACACACACAGGGTGGTCTAATTTAGGTACTTAGCTCCTCATTCATATGCACGATATTCAAGTGATGAACAGAAATCCACAAAAAGTAAATGGGCAGTGTTGCAGGTGAGAGCAGAAAAATCGATTTTTAATGTATAGGTACCAGCATAAACATTAGCAAAGCAAAGTGCAGTTAGGAAATAATCCCAAAAAAGGTAATTAAACACAAGGAAGTCCCCTTCTAGTGTGACCTGTGTATTCTGTGCTTTCTCCAGCTTTGGCCATGCCACTAAGACACAGAGAAACTAAAAGGATTTCAATTACTTAATGCCAAGTGTGATTTGGACAACAAGCTGGAAGAGAAAGCTGAAGGAACATTTTTAGACAAGACACAGTGAAGAACTAACATAGACTCTTCCAGTATATAAAGTGCCTCAAAATTATAGCAATTTTTTTCCTTCCCAGTCTAACCCATTATTTGAGGAGGCTCAATCAATTTAACAGCAGCAATTTGGCCCTGGTTCTGATTCCATCTGCTGACTTGCCATTTACTGCAGCTACAATTTCAAGCATGCTCCCAAGGCACTGTGGACCTAATTGATTTCACATTTGGAATCAGAACACCTCCTCTCTCATCACCTGGTACAACACATGGTTTGCTAGGTAAATTCTTCTATTCTTGAAGTACCCTGGAATTTATCCAAATTGCTGGATCACCTTGGGTAAGCTCACTACAAGATCCAACCATCCACAGAACAAAGGCTCACAAAACACTCCAGCCTCCCTGGCACTAACAGGAACATTTAGAGATAAATGGCAGAAAAAACATGTGTGGGGACAGAGGAGGGAGCAATCTAAAAAAGCCTGTGCATACAAGGCCCACTTGCACTGGCTTAGGTGATCTTGAAATAATGAGGAGCTATGTGGAATCCTACAGACTACAGGGAATTTAATACAACCTAGTACTTTAGATATTGGAATTATTTTCCTTTAATGAGCTTTAACATACAAACCTTAAGACTATGTAGCTTCAACATTAAATTATTGTTGCATAAACTCTCTCGAATGCTTTGGACTATCTGGTCTCATCATACTCTTGGTAAAACATGTTTTTCAACACAAAATTTTGGTAAATGGTCCTCAGGCACAGCAGCCTATTCTCTAACAAGTCTTTGGACATTACCATCTTTTTACACACTGAGTTTCAATAACTGCTAACAATATCATAAGAAAAGAAGATTAGATTTAAAAAGAAAATAATATACCCTTGCTGTAGCTTCATCCCAAAGCTGAACAGTCTTTACACATTCATAACCTGCACTGTCCTTTCTTTGGAACATGTTTTGTTCTTCCTGCAGAGGGGAACAAAAAATGTGCTTCAGATGACTCACAAAACAAGAATGCAGATCTCATACATAAATGGTTTGAATGCCAACTTCAGGTGAAATTTCAACATGGTCTCTGTCCAACCCAACTGTAATACTTTCAAGAAACTTGCAGCAAATCCTGTCACACAGTCTCTTAGTTAGCAGTGAGAACCATAAATAAGCTAAACACATGTATGGACCTCTAGTGAATATTAAATACAAAAAAATTTTCATGCTATTCTTACCCAAACAGTAATTTTTAAAATATTTGCTTCATAGGAGGGATAACGTGTGAATTCTTCAAATAAGTAATCCCACTCTGTTGTTAAATGGCCTAAGATTTCCACTTCTTTCACATATATCACTCTCCTGTTCAAGAAAAAAAGGAGTTCATACTCAGTTTCTCCCTGGGACTAGAAGTTTACTAGAAAAACTAAACAAAATGAAAGCATTTGGTGAAGAAGGCATTTTCTGTGCAGATTGCAAGTCCCCACTCAGCCACAGTGTACAAATATTTCCTTAATGCATTCTGAGACAATCACTTGGTGTTTAAAAGCCACAGATGATCCAAGACATCACAGAATGAGCAGGCCAAGGACTGGGCTGAGGAGAGAACTGCACATTTAGCTAAGGCTGCAAACAACTAAACTGCCCAATTATCATCCATGGCCTTGAAATCTCATCCATCTGCAGCCTGAATTCTGAGCTGGGCTGGTCATTATCAAAAAAAGCACACTGGGAAATCTCCATGGTCTCAGGCAAGGTGCAAACTGTGACCTGTGGGATGTGGAGATCATAGCCCTTTTCATAATTAAAGTAGATTTAGAAAGTTTTGAGTCCTCATACCCCAGACTGCCAACATCTTGAATTCTAAAACCTGTCAGATTCATTAAATAATAATTTTCATACTGGTACAAAGACTTAAGACTTCATTTAGAATATTTTTTAATTAACAATATGATGAATATGTATTACCAAACTGTTAGCTTGACTGCAAACACTTATAACAAGGTAATCTGAAAAATCAAAAATGAAAAGGGGAAAAAAAAGAACTATTTCTCCCCACTATGATTAAAGGGTCACAGATCTCAGAGTAAACCATCTTCCCAAATTAGTATCCAGCTCTGACACCACAACTAAATCACATTGTCCATTAACAAAACAAAATTAAATATTTAAAAAAATCAAAAAGAAAATAGAGAAGGAAAATATATGCAGAATATATGCAGAAAAGAGCAATCAGTTTAGACTTAGCCAGATGTCTAATCCCCCAGCTGAAATCATCTCAAGCCCTTAGAAAGCACACAAAATTCAATACCTGTTGGTAACAATAAGATTTGCTCTTCTGCCTCTTGGAATTGGACAGTGGTATCGATAAACCTCTTTTTCCAACTTCCTGATGTGCAACTTCTGAAACAGAAACAGAAAATAATTCTGGGGCTGAACAGAAACAAACAAACAAATTCATAAAAAATCCAAACCAAAACAAAAAAAAAATCAAATTAAAAAAAAACCAAACCACAAAACACTAAACACCAAAAACCACAAATTGGTGTCTTGAATTGAAAAGCCTTCTGGAAAGTTACCTCATGGTTAGTTCTTTAAAGGGAGGCTCTCACAGTGCTCTCAGTCCTGAAGCTGAGTCACTGAGAAGTCTGATCCATTCCACTCAAATGGACAGTGGTCTGACACTGCTGTATCACACTATTTCTTCAGCTTTGGTTTCCTTTCTGTGCTAGCAATTGTTTAATAATGCTTATGCTGCCACAGCCCATGCTGCAAGCTTCATTCAAGAGTGAAAACCCTGCAAAGGTCATGCATTTTTATAAGGCACATGACTCAGACCCTCAGAAACAAACTCTCAAGATACAAATGCTCAATACACCTCAAAATCAGGGTTCTGAACTGAGCAGATATGACCATTCAATACCCAAAATACAAAAGTGTATGAAAGTGGAGATTAAATCACTCATCACATTTTGATTAGACAACCACAACTCAAGTGACAACCTACAAGCACAGAAAAAGTTTTGAAATAAAGTACTGAAGGATAGGATCCTATGATACTCCTAGGATATTTTTGGCACTGATTCATTGAGGTTTTTTTCAGATTTCCCATTCTGTGCATACTCTTTGACTGAAGTAAAATGTTTCCTAGAGCATGTCACCAGGATTGCAATATTCCACCAACAACACAGCACAGATACAGGCTCACAGTCACCCCCACACCAAGCTCCCAATAACACTGGATTAAAGACAAGCAAGACTCACAGAGTGATACCTGAGCATGTTTGTGGGAAAGGAACA